TCAGTTATTATAAATCATGCCATCAAAGTCAAAATGATAGAAAAAAACTAATATTTTTTATGTATTCTGTTTTCAAGAAAACTATCACTCTTTGTGTCATTGGATGGAAAGCTATACATCATATCTGATCAAGGTTTTCTGCGTAGTTTTGAGTCTTGGTATCAAATGAAGAATATTTTTAATAAAATGATATAAAAGTAATACTGATGACTTTGGTTGAAAAATTTCAATTCTTAGATATGTTATGTAACATATCTATGAATTCGAAAATATTCGAGTTAATGTTAAATGCATATATCAGCTTTATACAACCTTTGATGTTTTCTTTTTCAATAAATATCTTTAAAAATAATTTCTATAGGATATAAAATCGTCTATTTTTACTCGTTCTTATTCTGTCAAAATCATACAATGATTTTTATCCGTATACTGGATTTACTGCCGTGCGATTTACTGCCGTAAACAATTTTCAGTAGGCGCGCTTTGCTTAAATGGAATTTTTAAAGACATTAATTTTATTCAGCTGTTTTTTTCTTGAGCGTCCATCTTACCTCCCCCCGCCCCCCTGCTCTATTTACCTGCATAAACGAGTGATACAGCACAATTATATATCAGGCACTTGTTGAATTTTTTTAAGTTAAAGTTAGAAAATTGTATGGCAAAACATTTTGAACGTCATTATTTTTATACGATATTAAATTCTTGCAAGGAATGAATTTTGATATTGAATTACTGAATGATTTCTTAAGATTAACTAACAAAAAAAATCATGTAAAGCAATTATTATCTCCTCATATCGAGCTGTTTATTCTTCTTTTTCTTTTTTTTTGACAGAAAGAAATGTAAGAATATAAGATGTAAACATAAAAAATGTGATGATTTGATATCGATACGATCACACTGACAATCATCCTTACACGTCATATAATATATTCTTCGGTTATTAATCGTCGGATGACTTCTTCTGGTCTAGCTGGACCCACATAATACTATTTTTCATTTCCCACAATGCTCATACGTACCATTTTTGAGCGATTTCTTTTCTAAAATTAGCTCTTAACATTAGAAGAGAAGTCACTTAGAAATGGATCATGTCAACGTAACAGGAAGCGAAACATGGAAGTATGTGAGTCCAGCTGGACCTACAAAAACCATCTAAGGATTAATTGTTTTTTTTTTGCTTCAAACATTTTCTTATTTTTTTTGTTGCGATCAACATTGATTCTCGTCACGCATATTCACTTTTGTAGTTCTTTCTCTTACTTTAATCAAGGGAAAGTAAATCCTCATAAATAAGAAATACTAATTGAAATAACTTTTTTTTTTTCAATCAACGGACAATAAATCCGCGAACAGTAAATCATGCACATGGATTATAACATTCTCGCCATTAAAATAAGGTATTCGCTATTTTGTGGTAGGTTCATTGTTTATGTATAAAGGTTTTCTTTAAGTTAATATTTATATTGATTTATTGCTGGATCATTACAAGTGGATAATTTTAAAAAAAACTGCTTAGGATATACTTATACGCTGATATTCGACTGATTAATTTTTAAAAATGTCTTGATTATAGGAATAATATTTACAGTTTCTAGTTAATTACTTGCCACTATACATATATATGTATGATTGATTGAATTATTGTTTTTTTGTCTGGATTTAATGAACAGAACGATTACTGGTTTCGATTATACCAGTTGATGAATATGCTTCCAAAGAAAAAAAATACCGCCATCTAAGTAATCTGTCAAATTACATCTAAATTCGTACTTTTAAAATTTGATTTTAATCGCGGTTTATGAAACTCTGGACGAAAACAAATACTGAAATTATTTTCTGTAGATGATTAACGTAATTTGGTTTTCAAGACATTTGAGTATTGATACAACATGAAAAAATCGGAAACTGTATTATGAATGGCAAACACTACGTGATAATTTTCATCGTATAGATATGATAAATACATATATATATGTATATCGATATCTAAATAAAATTATACGAAAATAAGTACATTTTTTATTCATTTCTATGTGATTATACAAAATGTTCAGATTTATCATCATCCTCGTTGTTCAGATTATAGATATGGTATATGAGTTCTTTTTTCTTTTCTTTTTTAAACGTCCTTTTTGTAAATTAAAACGATTGAAGTATACATTATTACTTTGAGATATTGCAATAGTTGATATCAAATAAATATGGTTTTCAAGAATATGTTATCATTATTCATCATGAAGATCAATTCAAAGACCTTTTAAAATAGAAGATGATAAAAAAATTGAATTCAAATCTATAAATATAGACATATGTATGTTTAGTACAAAGGATAATATTTACGTCAACGATTTTATGCTATATTTCAGAGAATTCTAATGCAAAGTAAATATTGTAACATTTTTGAAGTTAATCAAATTTTTTTTAGTGTTCTACATGATATTTAAAAAAAACTAAAGTTGAAATCATTCTCTGCGTCAATCTTTAATATATGATTAATAAAATTGGCAAATAAAATTCTACAATACTCAATTTTATGTATTTTGAATAAATTAACACTTTGAAAAAAAATATTTTCTTTCATAGGTAATTAGTTTATTATTTCATTCAATTTTTAAGTATTGAAAATAACGAAGTCCAGCATATTTTAAAAAATTTTCTCTACTAATTTGATTTTTTTCTAATTTATCCCATAATCGACTCAATGATTCTTCGGCTATTCGAGTATTTTTTCGACGTTTCGGTGGAGCTGCTCCTGCTTCATGTCTTTGTCTTTCATCTGCAGCTAATAGTTGTTCATTTTTAAACATATCAATACATGCATATATATCATTATGAGGTTTTATAGCTCTTTTTTTCCATCTATTATGACGTCCTTCAAGATAATTTATTGTACGTGGATTAAGATTTCTATAGTGATTATACATTGTTCGTGGAAAATTACTATTAATACCATACGTTTTATCATGATATTCCAAAAATGAATCAATCTCTTTTTCATATAATAATGGCTTTCTTGAGTATAAATATTGACTTGCTTCATCCACATCCGTTTCTGGTAAAAGTGCAATTGCAGCAAAGCTTCTAAACCAGACACGTAAACTTTCATCATGTTGAAATGGTGTTTTTAAATTTAAATTGACGAAATTTCGAAAAAGTGCTTTTTCATAATGAAAAAGACATCCTTTTACCTATATGAAATTAAAAAAATCTGTTAAACCATTATTATACTATAAAATATTCATTTTTTATTTATTGTTTTATTGATTATAATTCAAAACCAGCGTTTTAATATATAAACATCTAGAATTTTTATTTGTTAAATTGTTTATCTGTTAGATAGTTTATACAGGGAGTTCAAAAAGTTTTGAGAACTAGTAATATTTCTTCAATAAGAAATACGTTGTATTTACTTGTCTACAGTAAACGTTAGAATTCGTTATAGGAATTTTCACGAGCATGGTCAATTCTTTTTTGAATAATTTTTTTCTACTCATCGATATGTATCAAAGCAATTGCTTGGGTATTGTTACATTGAATTTGTTGATATTGACAGATAATGGGTGCAGCAGAATAAATTATCGGCTCAAAAAGATTAATGGTATTTTCGAAAACTAGTTATTTTACAGTATTTGTTCACATCACTTTATTTACTATATCCTAGTACTTTGTTGAAATACCATTTTAATTCCGACAATAACTAATTCAACTCAAATAGAGTACCCTAGATATCTTTGGACTATTGATTAACTCAGGTTACTTTTAAACTAAATCAAACTATGAATGAAAGCTAGTAACAAATGACAAATAAAGCAATATTAGGAAAAACTATACAATAACTATTTGTGGGAAGTGCGCATAATTTTTATAATTGAAACCATTTCAATTTAAAGTATGATAAACAATATTTAATCAAGATAAAATAAGTTAGATTGTAGGGAATTTTGCAGTGCATCTACCTATGATAAAATTACCTCTTTTTAATGAAACAAAAAAAGCTAAAGATATAATACTGACAAGACTATTTATTCTGCCGCATCCGTCATCTATCTATATGCAACAAATTTAATCTAGCAATAACAGAGCAGTCTGTTTGATACATATCGATGAATATGAAAAGACTATTCAAAAGTGAACTGAGCTTGCAATTGAACATTCCTGTAATGTATTCTAATGGATCACATAGACATAAATATAATGTACATATTATTGAAGAAATATTACTGATTCTGAGAACTTTTTGAACGCTCTGTGTAATTTCGGTAATGAAATATTTCAAGGAGTTAAATTACTTGAAATAAATTTCCTGTATGACAAGATTCTAAATAATTAGATTTTTTAAAGACTATTTTCTTACTTTAACATGTGGAAAATGTTTATAAAATGTATTTTTTACGGCAAGTTCAAAGTCAACAGTAATAGACTCAAGTCTAATCATATTTGATATTTCGATTATTTTCTTCGTCAATGTTGAAAATAAAGCATAGTATGTTGCTTCTGATTTATCATAAAGAAGTGCAAATACACATGGTGTTGATAGTCCTTCATCGAAAGCGTGTATGCTATAGATTTGATAAAAGATTGAGGGAGCAGTATAAAACGTTCCATCAGCATATCAAAATTTTTGATATGCTAAATATTTAATATCATCTTCAGATGAGAATATTAAACCTCTTTTTCCACCTAAAAATCCATCAAATAAAAGAAAATTTGCATTGTTTTTCGTTAGTGTATATAATATCGGTATTTGAGAAGGCAAATCCTTGATGGATTTTGGTAATGGTGGTCTAGTTTGTCGACGTTGTTTACTAGCAGTATTTTTTAATGTTTTTATTGTAGAAAATTTTACAATTGAATCGGTTATTTTTTCTTTCGTTATCATATTGGAATAACCAACTTCAACAATTGCATCAATTGGTGCTGAAGTAGTTTGTGCTTCTAGCTTTAATTGGTGTCGAAGTTCCAAGATTTTAATGTCATTTGGATCAATAAGATGGTTATGATTTTCATTTATTCTTAAAATAGTATCATTGTTTGAAACAGAAATACTTGCAGAACAATTGGATTTGATACATCTCCATAAAACTGAACTTAAATTTTTTTGTTTTAAACAAAATCTTGCTCCATGGAAGATTAAATGACGTTTACCATGGGTAGAATTAATGTATGATATATTTTTATCAATTGACTCTAATGTTAAATAATAAAACGGATATATACAGGATCTTATTAAAAAATTTCAAAGTAAAATATTTTAAAATATTTTTTAAGTAGGACATGATTAGTAGATGATGAAAATAGTGACAAGATTACATACAGATAATTTTTTTAGAGAAACAACGAATGGGTCATAATTAAGGAAACGAAAAAATTTGAATATCCCTATTAAGGCTCGACGAAACAGACTCATTTTTATGCCAAGGCTAGAGCCCTGTTCATACTCCAAAGCCCTACGAACAAGGTTAATAGAAACCTTCCTAAGTATGACTATTGATCTCAATAAGAAAATTTTACTCTTTCACAGATTAGAAAAGAAAAAATATACTTTACAAAGGTTCAAACTAATGTTCTTCGTATGGATTTAGAGTACAAACATGCCTGTATCTCTGGTCAAAACATCAGCTCATTTACTCGAGCCGAAATGGAGATATTCAATTTTCTTTTCAAGAAAGTGACTTTTGGGTTACCCTATAACATTGAATTTTTTCTGTTTATCAAAAGGTGAAACTTTTTACTGAGGTCACTAATGACATTTAACAAAGATTCTCACCAAGACATTCAATTTTTTTGTTTCCTTATTTATGACCCACCCGATATATTAAAAAGAGAATTCTATAGAAAGAGTAGCTTATTGTTAATAAAATTGAAACAAAAATCTTGCCTGATTCATTTATATTTACAGAAGACATACTGTATTATTTTTCTAAAAAATTCAGCAAGTGTTTATATGAAAGTTCTTAAATTAGATATATATTTTTACTTTGTCTATATTGCTAATGGATGAATAAATTCTAATTCATAAAGTTGTTTTTGCCGAAAAGAACGAAATTTTTTCTGAAACATGACAAATTATATAAATAATGATAACGTTACATAATATGATAGACTTGTATAAATTCAATAGCTTATGAGACTTTAAAAAGAACAATGAAAATACTTCTATAGAACATATTCATCGTCTCGTACAAAGGTAATTAATCAATGGCGCTTTTGAGTATATAGTGTTTTTAAAATTCTTGCTTTTATTTTTGCAATGATACAATTATTTAAAATCAAATTGGAATACTATGATGAAGAGAGAAAAATAATATTAAACCCCTTTTGACAGATCAGTTTTTATTTTGTTTTCACGATAAATTTTTCGTTTTACTAATGAAATTTTTATTTGTTCTTTCTTTCAAAAACTTCGTTACTTAATAGATGAAATAACAGTTTTTTTATGTTATGATCATACATGTATAATAGAAAGAAAGTATCGCATCTATTTTAATATTTTTATTTTCTTTACATCTCTTAAATTGTCGTATAATTCATTTACTTTCCCTCCTGTTTTCTAAATGAATTGAAGTTAATTAAATTAAAACGTTGTGGCTTCTTAGAGATCAATCTAGTTTCTTTTTTTAGTCTCTTTTAATCAATTGAATTTCCTCGTTCATTATTTGACTTGGGTAAGAATTCATTTTCAATTTTCTAATTCTGTTTATTATATGTTTTGATGGTAGAAAAACATGGAAAAATGTGAACGAATTCGTAGAATGAAACAATGCGTTGCTGAAAAATTAGATCTACGACTCATTTTGGATGAATATTCATTTCTGATACTAAATGAAATTGCACAAACAACTAATGTTTCAATAGATTATATATTTTTGACAGTGATTGTTGCTCTTTGTCATTGGACAATGGGAGCTTCATTAAAAGGTGCTCAAGCGTATAATACACCATTGATTCTTTTTGGAATTTTATGTGGAGGAAGTGGTATGTTTGTAATCTTTGAAAGTAGTTAAATGCAAAAGTTGATATGATATTTCAAAAAAACAAAATCATTAAATTTTCACATATTTTTGACTTATGATTTAATAGTCAAGTGAAGAAAATTTGAAAGTTATTTTTTGATGCATCAAAATGTATTTCATGTATGAAGCCTATCACATAAATATTTTCATTTGAAGGAAAAAAAATTGAATAAAATATCGTTGATAGTTATGATGATTTGTGTTGTTTTTATTTCTTTAGGCTCAAAAAAAAGTGCACCTATAAGGATAGTAAAAGAAGCTTGTGAGGCTGTAGAAGCACTAGATGGTATTCCTGTAAAAAAAATCATCTATTAATGCATCAGTCAATATGGAATCATTATGTTGTGAATTAGAGCAACAACCGAATTTATTACAAGTAAATTTTCTTTTGTAATATGTAATATGACAAATAAAGTTATGATAGTTATGGGATGAACTCGCCATGTTTCTCGGTATTTTTGGAAGTACACGTATTGATCGTGCTGCATATGATCGTGGCTTGATGTGTGAGTTTTATAGTCCAACTGATATTGTACGTCGACAGTTAGTCAGCAGACAAAATGTTATGATTAAACCACGTCTTAACCTCATAGCTGCTGGTCATCCAAAAAGAACAATCGAATGTGTATCGGGTAAAATGCAAAAAATTATATATTATATGGTTTTTTCTTAAACTTTAATATAATATTATACGTATTTTTTATTAAACTCACTTGTTGATATAGTTTTTTTTCTACTATTAAATGTATTAGGTGTTGGTTCGAAATGTCCAGATCAAAAAGATCAAAATGAAGATGGTTTATTCAATCGATTTATTATTGCTGTTGCATATAAACATCGTCCTAATCGTGAAGCAATTGAACCAAATAATAAGATTCCAAAACTAGCTCATTTATTTTATTTAACAAAAAAGCTTCATCGTAACACAGAAGAATATATTTATAATGATGAAGGTAATTTTCCTATTATCATAAAAATTAGACAATTCTCTTATTTCGTTTAGCAAAGAAGTTTATAAAAGACGTGATTTATAATTATGATATGTTTTCATCGGATAAGTCCAATGAAGATGATTTTTTAGCAAGGTAATTGCTTTATTGCTTTATTTATTTTTATTAGTTCAATCTATACAATTTATGTCTTATAGTTGTTATCAAAAATCAATGGAGCGAGTGGAGCGTTTATCACTTGCTCTACATATTTTTAAAATATGTTCTCGTCGTTTATTTAATATGCTTGAAGATGTGGAATCATTTGATGTACTCGATGATCATTTTAAGACGATATGTACAGAACAAGAATTAGATGAAGTCGATCATGTGATTGATTATGATACCTGTTTTCGTGCCTCTCTATTAACCAAATTTTATCTTAACCAAACCAAAATACTTGCCGGTTATGATCCAATTACCGATCATGTCGTAGTAAATAAAAAATGTAAGATAATATGTTTTACTTGCCTTTATCGTTCAATAATGAATATTTTCATTAATTCCACGTCAAACTCGAAAAAAATAAAAAATAAAAAATAAGTTTATAATTTATATTAATATGAATGTAAATTTGTATCATACATAATAAGATACCAAAACCAACAGAACATTTTGATGATAAAAAAATTTTTAATATTACATAATTTCCATAATCTGTTATTCTAGATACTATGGATGTACCCGACAGTGAAGTAAAACATATAAAAAAATATATTGAAAATCATCCATCTGATCGTCTTCTTTTATCATCACTTCCGGCTAATCTAAAAAGAAAAATAAGTAAAGATCAATATTTAATGATTCTTCGACAAATGGAAGAAGAGGGAAAAGGTAAAATCGAAGAAACAAATAATACAACAGATCCAAAAGCAATTGTATTCACAAAAAAGAAAAAAATTGATCAACAAGCAAATGTAGCTTCGACAACAAATCAACAACAAACAAATGAAATTTCATTAGTAAATCATCAAGAAGCATATGAACCTTCATCAACAAATCGATCTTCTAATTGAACTTGCCATAAATATTATAACTTCTCGATGTTTTATATTTTTAGTTTTATTAGTTTTAGTAACAAATATTTAACCTGAAGTTAAATATTTGATACAGGTCGTAAGTTCTTTTTTATTTTAGATTTACATGGATATTCATCAATCAGTAATACGAATGTACGAAGAATTAATGAATAATATTTCGAGTCAAACGTATGATCTTCGATTTATTTCATACATATACATTTTTTTTTAGTAATACGGAAATGTCACCAGTGGTGTCAATGGAACAACACTTAAATGATCGTGTAGAACATGCTGAATATGAAGAAGATAATAATCATAATAATGGTGCCAATGAAAATACTAATACTAATCAAAACAATGATAGTAATGGAAATAACGAAAATCATGAATATAATGAACATGGTGAAGCAACAGAAGATATCATAGAAATTGTGAACATACCATCAAGTATGTAGTATATAAGAAAAAACAAATACAATAGAATAATTGTAAGACTGAGCATATTTCCAAGAAAAAAAAATATTAAGATTGTAATTGATCTAATTTTATTCAATGTTTCGAATCAATCTTTTATCTAAATATGGTATAACGACTTAGTGATATTTAAAGTAATAAATTTATTATGGTCGCTTACAAAAAAAAATATTATT